ATATGATTTGTGGTTGTAACTTTAAAAATTATGTTGACACCAAAGTAAAAATAATTATGTTATTGTTTTCCTAATGTACTTGTTATTTAATTTAAATTTTATTATGTTTTAGTAAAGAATAAAAGTCAATTTTATACATTTTTGTTTTTGTTTCAGAAATATATACAAATTCGTTTTTGATTTCCAGTCCGTCAAAGTATATAAACGAACAAATCAGTTTATCAAATAATGATTTTCATTCATACAGTGAGAACCTGTTGGAGGAGTCCATTGACTTTCAATATTACAATTTATAAATCTTCCGGCTCAAACTACTTTGGTTTCCAAAATTCCAATTTTTTTTACATATATATTTAAGACTGACCAACAGGTGACCTTTTTATACAATTTTTATTATATGATTGATTAATTACATCAATCACAACAATCATAATTGTTCAGTTTGAGTTTATGTTTGAAGCTTTTTTTTATGTTACCATTGTGTAAAAAATGTTTGATCATCCTGATTCTAGTCAATTATTTATTATTTAAAATAATTTTTGCTTACTTTTTTTTTTGCAAAATACACATATTATTGAATAGATTTAAATATTATAATTATTGAAAAGCATTTTTTTTTATAGATATTAAGATGTTTAAAATAATATCTCGTGAATAGTATTTCATATTTTTATATATTATAAAAAAAAAAAAAATGTATATAAAAAACATGTGAATTAAAACAACCTTATGTGTTTGGAGTTAGTTTGTTATGAATATTATTAAATAAATTTAAGATAGTTAGAAATTAACAGTGACCACGATCTTCAACTCGTTGTCTTGGTGCAGCCTTAATGATACAATCGACACGCAAAATCATTTCAGCAGCTTCAGCGGCAGATACTAAAACTTGTCTTTTGACAACAAAAGACTCAGTTATTCCAATCTCTTGCATACATCCTAAAGCACCTTTTTCCATATCTAAAATAAAATGTTTAATGTAGTATAATAAAAGAAAATTAAATATTAAAATATGATAACTTACCAAGACCCATTTTACTCTTGCCAAGAGCATGATTGGCTCTCAATTCATTGACAAGCTGTGCAGAATCCAAACCAGCATTGTCGGCAATAGTAGTGGGAAGAGACTGTAAAGCCCGTGAAAATGCCTCCATGGCTACTGCTTCTTTTCCAGGTGTTTTAGCAGCTACAGCACTTACTGCATTTGCCATTAGCATTTCACTGCAACCACCACCGTACACAATGGTTGGTTCTCTGACAGTAGATGATAATACACATAAAGCATCGTGCAAAGAACGGTCGGCTTCATCAATAATTTGTTCAGTTGCACCACGGATAACGATGGTGCATGCTTCACCAAGAGCTACGCCAGAGAAACGTAACAATGTGCTTTCCCCAATCATTGTTTCTTCAATAAGTTTGCATGTACCCAACTTAGCTATGGCAGGAGAATCGAATGTTGATAGAATCTCTCCACCAGTTACAAGGGCTAATCGTTCAATACCATCAAAATCGGCATGTTCAATAGCCATAATACCAGCATCAGCAAAAAGTTGTTCAGGATAATTGTAGATCAATTGTCTAAAATAACAAAACAACAAAATTATCTAAATTATAAATCAAAATTTGATTACTCAAAAAGTAGAATTGCACTTTAGTTTTACTTGACTAGAGAAAGATAAATTAATAATTGAAAAATTGCTACAAGATAGTTCCTATATTGTATTTTGAAGTTCAATTCAGGATTAATTATAAATATAAAAGTAATAATAGTAATACCAATACTAAACAGTATAGTAGAGATGTTCTGGATAATTTGTCAAAAACCTGGTACTGAGTATTGAACGAGTACAAATTTTAATACTAACTGCATGAGGAGAATAGTAGAGTGATTACTAATAAGTTATACCTAACTGACAATTGCTAAGTAGTAATATATAAAACGTTTTGATTGCAGATTGTTATCATATAACTCATTAATAAACACGAGATTTATTTTTGTAATTTGTCAAAGAAAACACCATTTGTTAACCATAAACTGGCTAATGTAGATAGGTTCAGTTATTCCAAAATGTCCCTACCTAAATAAATTATAATTTATTACATTAGATTTTTCCCATTATATAAATATTTAATATTCTCTGCCCATCGAGAAAGTGCTCCTCCTAGGCGATAAAAATGACCGAGCTCGGAGGTTTTGTACCCAAATTTCTCCCACTCTATTCGCCGTTATAAAATAACCCACTAGCGGCGAAGACGGTGGTGGCAGCCAGCTTTTGGGCAGGTTTAGTGGTGAAAATGTGCAAGAATGGACGAGTTTTGGTAGCCGCCCATAAGCACTGTCTCGATGGCTGGAGTATGCATATATTTATATACAGATTATCAGAATTTTTTAAATTAGATACTAGATATGAGTTGAATAAAAAATATATAGTATTACGGTTCGGTAAAAATGTAGGTATTACTCCGAGTATCGAGAAAAAAATTAGTATTACAATGTGATATAAAAGTAAAAAGTAATTTTTAAAAGTAAAAGTTAATTTAATGTAAGAATGAAATGATAATGTAATTACCTATCATATTCAGAAAATTTTCTATTACCTGTTAATGAAAACATTACATTCGTGAGAAAGTATTTTTCCTATTTTGTCTTTCATTTTTTCTTTTTCTGCCAATTCAAGTTCAGCTACTTTAGCCATAGAATCAACTTTTATACGAGATCCAAATACTTTAATTTTATCTGTATCCATAGGAGTATTGGCAATAAGTATACGGGCATTTTCAATACGTTTTGGCTGATGTTGGCCAGGTTTTTTGTCCAGAAGGAAACCTATTGAAATTAAAGTTAAAATTAAAGTTTTATTTAATGATGAGTGATATATGTACTTACCTTCATCCAAAAATGAATCTTCTAAACATCCACCTTTCAGCTTAATAATCTGTATGGCTGATAAATTGCCGGAACCTTTCAGACGCAAAATTGCATCAACGGACAATTTAGCGAAATGTTCTTTGTGCTGGGATAAAATTTTAGAACTTAAAGTTGTGCGAGCAATATTCAATAAATCTTCTCGGAATTTAGCTTCATTTTTACTATTATCCATAGCAGAAGCTTGTAAAGCATCATGTGCGATGGTAGTAGCTTTTCTCCATCCAGATATAATTACTTGAGGGTGGATTTTTTGATCAACCAGTTTTTCTGCTTCACGTAACAATTCAGCAGCTAAAAAAATAATTTAATATACTCTTAACTCATTGGCAAACAATAGACAGTTATGTTTTCAAGCTTTAATTTTAATTGTATAGGGTTTTATCTTCTTAACTAACATATTTATCATAATGTTAAAACTTATTTGTCATTATTCATTTTAAATAGAATTAACTTACATACCTATCCAAAATAATTAATAACTATCATTATACCTAAATAAATAGTTGCTTTGAATAAAATATTATAAAAATGTGACTAACCCAAAATGGTTTAAAAGAACAATTTTTTTCATTATTTTAAGATATAAGACTGGAAATTTATCAATTACCAGTTAAAATACAATAAATATATAATTTATTTCAGCCATTGGGATAAAAAAATAATAGTTTTGGCTAAAGAGTGAGATTCTAAATGTTATAAAATTTGAGTTCAGTTTATATTTTTCATGAATTATAATCGAGTATAAAAATAATTTATAAGTTCTATGGCCCAGAACATTAATTAATTCATAATTCATACATAATTTTATAATTACATCACAATAATTGTAAAAAATGTACATTATATTACCTAGAACAGTAACAGATGTGGTACCATCTCCAACTTCACCATCTTGAACTTTAGACATATCAACCAATATTTTGGCGGCTGGATTATCAACTCCAATATTTTTCAAAATTGTTGCACCATCATTGGTGACTTCAACTTTAGCATCCATTCCCCCACGGCCGGGCGATATAAGTATCTTGTCCATTCCTTTTGGCCCCAATGTGCTTTTGACCAAATCACCAATGGCGATGGCTCCAATGAAACTAGACAAGCGAGCATTTTCACCTTTGTCTTCTTCGGCTTGATGTTTCAAAATACGTACTGGATTTAAAGAAACCTTTGTTTGGAAGAAAATAACCAAATAAATAATATTAGTATGTAATCTTAAGAAAACGCCTACATAAAACACTCTGGTTTTAGTAGGTTAAGTGAACACAAGAAATAAAAAATATTGTTACTTACCATTTTGGCGATCTATAGAATGATATTAATACTGTAAACGAATAAACTATGCCGAAATTACGGTGATTTTGGTTTTAGAAAAATGTAAAATATAGCAGTATTGCAGTACTCTATTAATTGCTCATAAGATCACAACGAGGTATTATAAAATATAAATTATAATATTATACCTATGTATGGGTCGACCGGTGGTGGGTGGTTACTCATGTGTATGGTTGGTTAATCTATAGTTTATCACTGGAGCCTTATCAAAGATTGCAGTTGCTCAGTGGTACCATCCTAACATAGCAATGTAAAGCATTGGGAAACATGAAAACAAACGCGCCATTTTTAAATTATCACACATTTGGTGGCCGGAATCATGAACATAATAAGATATACTGTTTCAGTGGCGTAATTAGGAATTGGGTTTGGTGGGAGATATACGTTTTTAGCAAACATTAATGGTCATTAACAACACTTTGATCAAAATGTTAGAAGTAAACAAAAAGTTTTGGGGGGATCTATCCCCCTAATCCCCCCTTAATTAGGTACCTGATTAAATTGTTATTAGTTTTGAATTTTTACTTAAACTTGATAAATTATAAACATTATTATAAGCCTGCTATAAGAAATAAAATGATCCTTTTTTATAAGAAAAATAAGGTCTAAAATTTAGGTGAAGCATCGAAAGTTCTCTAAGTGGTCCGTACAGTCAAAAAGGTTGGGAACCACTGACATACAAGCTACAACAGTAGGCTAAACTCATTGTTGTCTAAAAAATTACATTTGAAAATGTGTTTAAAATATAATAATATATAATCTAAAAGTTACATATACTGATATACCCACGAATAATATTTTTAAATTACAACAAAATAACTAAAATCGTAATTCTTGGTTTTAATATGTAATTTTGACCAATTTTGAACATAAAATGTCTGTAAAAATAACTATGGTTTTTTAGATTTTTTTGTTACAGTATGAATCATAAAAGAGAATCCTTGTTTTTCAATCGTATTAGCTATAAAAATTTAACATTTATTCTATTTTTGGACCAAGCGTTGGAAAATCAAAATTAACAGCGACAAATCGGTACACGTAAATTATACTTTGCGTAAAAGTGTATACCACCCAGTATGATTGGATCAGCAGATCATCCCACAGAACGATTCTGCAAAATACCTAGGAATGCACCTCGATTCACGATTAAATTGGAAACATCATGTTCGCCAGAAAAAACTCCAAATTTAACTGAAATTGAGGAAACTTTATTGGCTGATCTGTAGACACCCCGATTAAACGTCTTTTGTATGTAGCGATAATTAAACCAATATGGACCTATGGAATACAGCTGTGGGGCTGTGCCAGTAAGTCCAATATTGAGATTATCCAACGTTGTCAAAATATTGCTCTGCGTACTGTTGTCGCAGCATACCGGTACGATTGAAATGACATTATCCACCGAGATTTGATGATGACCTCCGTCCAGGACGAGATTACCAAGTTTGTCAAAAAACACGAGAAAAGACTAAATAAGCACACCAATCCAGAAGCAATTCAACTACTTGATAACTCTCAAGACATTAGGCGTCTCAAACTTCGAAACCATATGACTTAGTATAAATTATTAGACTAAGGCTGGGACCTCTCCACTAGGAGTGATAACCCAAATATGTGTTTTGTATATATTTACTAAATATTTATTCATTAATTTATTAATATTTAATATGTACCTATGTACACATGTCTTAAATATATTGTTAAAGATCATTGATTGTTATAATAAAAAAAGCCTTCGGGTGGTTTATATAAAAAAAATTTCATTATATTTTAACTGCCATAAAATAAATTTAAAACTATTGGGTATTTTTTCGTTTTCGTTCACATTGACGATCTCCCGCCGATTTAAAAGTATTGAAATCACGACCCGGACATCGACCTGGTAACCCTGGCTAATATGATATTAATATATATATTTATAGATATCTTTTACGGTCATGTATAATTAATTAAATTACGCAATGTCTGAATTGCTTGCGAAGCTTTATCAGTAATCACTTATCATTGTTGCTACTAATTAAGTTCATAATTTGAAATTTGTGTTTTGTGCAAAATGCCAAAATGCGCCTTGCTGTGTGCATTGATCAAAGGGTTTATCAAAATGCATGACTATTTCATTAAGTGAGGCGTTTTACTCTTTCAAAATCGTAGTAAGAGCTGAGTTATTGACTTTATCATGTTCAGGGAAATAAGGAATAACCATTTCTTACTGACGTATTCAGCAGCAAGAGTTGATACGAAATCAATACTGAAATCTCTAACTGTGTTCCTTGTCATTGATCCTAACTTTTTGGCATCTTTTTTTTCTTTTTTTTCTTTTCAAAAGTAATTAACAATCTTTATCCATTTAGACACAGTGACAATGTGTAAGACAATGTGATAAAGGTTAACATGTCATGAGGTTTTGTTAAAAGAAGCCACCCATTGATAGCACTTTCTGCTGGCTTGATAATTTATTATTTATTAAATTTTTTTTTTTTTAATTTTTAATTTTAATTGAATTTATAGTTTAGTTTAGGTTAATTTAAGAGATCTCGACACCACTTACGCTTCAGACGTCTCGGAGGATTTCCAGGTATATATTTCTCAACATTTTAGGGCCACCGCAGCACTTAAACAAATGCTTATGTCTATGGTGATCGTACCCTATTGATGAACCTGGTTAGCCTGGGAATGTGTCGTAGGCGTATGTGAGATTAAATTTCCATCAATTTTTCTATTTCGCGTCTTAGTTGATCCTCAGCTCTTGATAACTTTTCATAAGTCAAATTTATATTATCATTCTCCTGCCGAAACCATTGAAGATGACCGTCTACATAATTAATATTAATTTTTACAATAACTGTAAAATTTATCGTTGGAGTTCGTACCCGAACTCTATGGTTTATTATTATTATTATTTTCCTTAGCCAATATGACGTAAGTGATCAAATCACTCCATCGTACCTTTGTAATCTTTGGTATATTTTTGCAAATCTTAATTACATAAGTCACCTAACCTTTTCTCTTAATCATCTAATTTGTAATACAACTCAATAACACATATATCACGTGATACTACAGGACTTAAGTGCTCGATCAGACTATGCGTTTTGTCGGTGACCGATAATCGGTTGCCGATCGGTAAACGACCGCGACATCTATAAGTTTGAAAAAGTGGCCTGAAATAAATGTATGTGGCCTAAAAATACCTGTTTGCCTGGTAAGAATTTTTAAACCACTCCGCCACTGAATGAAATAGAGATATCTTTTAAAAATTAATCAACTATCAGACTCAATTGCTAAAGTAGCAATAACCTCTGTTTGCCATACAAATTAAATTTGTATAACAGTAGGTACTCGAGTCTTTCATCGAACAAATTAAAAAACATAAAACTAAATATTAAAAATTGGAAGTATAACCATATTAAGTATATTAAGAGAAGAGAGGAAGTAATTACTACCCGGACAAGAATAGGACACACTCACCTGGGCGATTGTAAACTCCGCCAGTTTTATTTTTTTACTTATAATGGGTATATGGAATATAGAAACTCTGCCAGTGTTATTAAGGACTTGCTTATGTAAAACTGAATAATATATCTCAACTAAGTAAACTAAAAATTCAAAATGAAAAAAAATTATGGTGTTAGAGAACTCTATAAATAGTTATAATAATTGATTTATATAATTAGATTTAATTGTTAGAATATCTAAAAATTGTATCACATAATTTTAGTTCAAAATATTATATGTTATAATTAATACACAACGAAGAACCCCTGAAAACGAAAAAAAAATTCTACTACCTACCTTACCAATATAATGGGACGCAATTTGTGTATACATTTTTTACGAGTCGCAACTAAGGTACCTGTAACCTGTAGTAGCGACAAACGAACGAAAAACCGGGAGGCATATAAGCATAAATAAAGCAATAAATAATGCAACACTTATTATTATAATAATTAATAATTGCTAGCAATTAATGATTCTCTACCATTAATTCGATTTTAATATAAGTAATAGTAAATATATATGAATAAATAAATTTATAAATGGTGAAATAATATAGATATTTTATTCTAATAATTTGTGAAACCATAATTTTGAAATAATTTTTGTATTTACAGTTTGACCTAGGTCCTAGAACTTGGAGGATTGATTGAATATTATTTATCTGTTAGAAATTGGAAGTATAATTTTTCCGCTTTCTGTATACAAGACTGGCAAGACAATGAAACACATTATTAACAACATAGAATTATACATTCTATGGTTCTATCAATTTATTATAATCTATTAATTTACTAATTAAATATCGATCATAAAACTAAAAAACAAAGTTTAAAATGTTCTATTGTAGTCCTCAGTAGTATATTTAACATTTTACAATAAAATAAACAATTCTACTAACATACCATCTCCAAATTCCAATACACTTAATCAATAATTTTTAAACAATTTTTGTATTATTAATAATAATAAAAAAATACATTTAACATTTTTTTTATAGATTATTTAGTGTTAACTCGAAAATTCTGTAAATTAAATTAAGAAAAGTGAAAAATAAAAGAACAACCTAATTCATTAAATTCAATTAATTAAAACATTTAAATTTATTTTATTAAATTACAAGTACTATTAGTGGCTCTAATTGCCCAAAATTTCACATAATATGATTTATAAAATTTATATATATATATTTTCCGGTTCAGCCATCATGCACCATTAATTGAATTACTCAATGTCTGAATTGCTTCCGTAGCTTTACCATTATTGTTGCTAGTGGTTAAGTTCATAATTTGAGCTTTCAGCAAAATTGCGTTTTCCTGTGTGCTATTTAGTTGATTAAAGGGTTTGCAACGGGTCACCGCTGTAGTCAAACAAATTCTTAAGTTTATCGTGATCGTAGGTACCTTATTGATGAACCTGGCTAGCCTGGGAATGTGTCGTAGGCGTATGCGACTCTAATTTTCCAT